AAGTGAGCGACGGTATGTGTTCGCTCACTTATCGATCTATTGAGCCGACGTGTGACAGTTTAATTGTCACAGGTCGGCTCGAACTATGAGGCTGAGTGATTTTCACTCGCATCATAGTTCTCGTTTAAGCTTCAATAAAAAATTGTTTTTACTGTAACTGGTACAGTTTAACCTACATAGGGAGGTCACATAAAAAAAAAAAAAATCTTCATGATGCAGCACTGAAAACATTGCAATCACATGTCATGCCTTACAGAGCTGCTTAGATCTCAGGACTGGACAATTGAGGGACACAGCTCTGAAGAATTCTGAGATGTAGGGTTATGCTGCCGAATAATTGAAGCAACAATAATGGAAACTCCGGACCGCTGCAGGATGAAGCGTTAGTACTGAGACCTAAATCAACCTGCTTTACGACCACCTCAGGACGAACCACAAGTATGGAGACCAGAGGACTAGAGAAACTTCCAGGATTTAACTTGCCTGGTACGAATCTTTAAGTCTAGTTGGCTAGCTAGCAAAACTCCCAGGATTTATTTATATCCGCTATGAAGTCTCTCCGAATAAACTAAAATAATAAAGCAGAAAGAGAAGGAGACATTCATTCTCCCGAGGTCAACAAGGACATAAACTTGTCCCATCTCACACCCGCCAGTTGTGCTTAAAGCGGCAGGCTTTACATTTTTTGTTTGCCCAGTGTCCATTTCTCCTGGAGGCAGCAGTATAACCCTACGTCTCAGAACTCTTCAGAGCCGTGTCCCTCAATGGATGATATAGAAATATGCATTTTATCTCTGCATTTTGCCGTTTTCCTGAAGTTCAGCTTTAAATCTTACAATTCGCAGACCGTAAATTCATGAAGGGTAAATAAAAAAATCTACATACTGCACCATCGTCCCCTTCATAGGCGTCATTTCCATCAGCGCTGCCACCTTCACCATTGCTCTCATCTCCATCGCCCATTCCAGCGTCGTCTTCATCATCCTCATCTTCCCCATACCCAGCTATGTCCTTGAACATAACAATTGAATTGTTACAAACATACTAGCAAAAATACTGGAGGCTGAATACATAGACCATACGGGGGCGGGTACAGCTGGCTCTGCCTCTAGATAGGCAGAGCCAGCTGTCACTCACGCAGCTGGGTGGATCCCGGCACAATTGTCGGGATCAGCTTCAGCTGCGTCGTCTCAGTATACCGCGAGTTGTAGCTCCCTATATACTGAGCTTAGGGCGACGGGAGGACGCTAGTTTGTGTCCTCCCGTTACCTCCCGGAAAAGCCCTGACCCCATAGTTCTCCTTTAAAGAGCTGGACTTGGGGCAGAAATTAAATGACATTTTAAAAAATTACTTCTTGCTTTGCTACACAAGTAGCCAGTCACTACTCCCGACTAATACGATACAGAAAAGCAGCTTAGTCTCATTTTCATTTGGTATAACCGATGGCCGTTATGCGTGCCATTTCCCTGGCCATCAGCCATGTAACATCCACTGTGTAGCTGCAGAACAGTGAGCAGTGACAAAATCCGACTCCAGGTCTGACCTGCCCACAATGACCACGGGCCAATTTACTTATACCCATTCACACCTGCTGAAAGCTACTGACAACACCTGCCAAGTGCCCCAATGCTCATGTGACATGGCCGCTTATACTTCAAGGGTGAATTTTGCAAAAACTATGCAAAGAAAAAACACAGAACCCAAAGCTTGTTTATATACTACGGGAAATAAAAAAGTTCTACTTGGGAAACAGACAATTCTGACAAAGTCGATTTGCTGGCTCCCCCCCCCCCACAGGTCTCCCTTCTTCCTCCCCCTGACCTCCAGTAACGGTATTCTGTATTGAGTGACGATCAGAAGGAGGAAACAGTAAAGACTGTGGGTGGACTCAGGAGATCCTGGAAGTCGATGGACTCATCGCACTCCTGACCGCTTGCTCCACAAGAATCGGATGTGTGCTGCGGTAGTCAACGGATGGCAACTGTTACATGTATAGGTAGAAACAGGGACACCGGCACACCAAATGCAGTTCAAATGAGTCTTTTTATTGACCTAGCTGCAGCATATTACACTGGTGCAACGTTTCGGGGTCTCGCAGGATCGCCTTTGCCTGAGGAAGGGGATCCTGCAAGACCCTGAAACTTTGCACCAGTGTGATATGCTGCAGCTGCGTCAATAGAAGCATTTGAACTGCATTTGGTGTGCCGATGTCCCTGTTTCTACCAACACTCCTGGAAGTCTCGGTTCCTGTGGACTTCAGAAAATTTCTCAGCATTAAACGAGCATTTAACGGCGTGAGCAGCAAAAAAAGTGAGATATTACACTATTTTCACCAGTATGGCTTTCTTAACAGTTAGGGACAGGGTAGCTTAAACTCATGTCACCGAGCATCCTAGAGCTGCAAACAATATTGGGTCACATAAGAGCAATAAAAAAAAAGCTCAACTGTGGGCTGAGTGGGAAGCCCATGCAATGCAATGCGCCGATGGATCTATAATCTTTCACTACACTTCAGTAAGATTTATAAACAATATATTTCTAAACTCTATTACCTCTTGGTCGCCGTCATTTTCCTCATCCTCCTCTTCATCGCTGTCTATGACTACAATCACATTCTCGCTCTTCGACGTGCTGTGCTGGGTGGATTGCACACCTTGGGACTGATCCGAAGACTGAGCGGTGATATCCCCAAGGGACTGCGACGTCTCTTCGCTATCATGAATTTGCTGATAATCCAACGAACCAAACTAATAGAAAGATGAAAAAATGTAATGTTCTAAATCACGAGCCTCCATTTCAAAGATCCCTCCCCGATACCCACTTGTATAGCTATATATATTTCACTGAACAAAAAAAGAATAGACTTCGTCACTATGGTAGCATTGTACGTTCCCAGTGTTTTATCTAATAACTGCCGCAACAACTTTTTGATCCAAAATTTGGAGAAAAACAGAAGAATTCCAATGATGGCAATCACAGAAGAATTACAGTGTGTGCTACCCCAAAAAATTCATAAATATATATATATATATATGCGCCACGGTCTCAGTGATGACAGAGCAGGCGAAGAACGTCTATTCTTCGTCTGCTCTATGGTTATCTCGATCCTCGCCACTGCTCGGTTTTAATACGAGTGATCTCGTTAGCGTCAGGATTCGCTCCATAAGACGCAGGCACATTTCCCCCCTCCTTTTGGTAATGGAGCCAAAAATACAGTATATATATATGTGTTTGGCCTGTTCTTTATTTAGTTCATTTGCTCAGAAATACCTGGAGTCTACTAGTTCCCCTTGGTTCAGGTTTGAATCTGACCACACAAAGCATGGAGACAAGCCCCCCCCCACCTTCTATGGGGAAGAGGGACGTTGGAGGCAGTGAGGTCGCATAACCGCCGAATAAAACATCCATAAAAAAGGACACAAGGTTTCTTTTTCAACAAAAGTAACTGAATATAATTTGCGCTAAGAATATTCTATTTTAGAAGTGTGTTCCCAAATACTTTGTTACCTGTGCAAGTGCATCTTGAGATTCTTGGTCGAAAGTGTGAGATTCTGATTCAGTGATTTCCTCCGTTAAAACTTCCTCCTTTATCAAACGCAAGGGTATAAAATGTATCAAAATCAAGCAACAAAACCATTAGGAAAAGCCAAAAGAAACTTTCACAACCCCACAGATTTTTTTTTTTGTGTGCATATTTAAAGAGCCCCTGTCACACACAAATTCCTGGAAGCCCATGTGTCAGAACCCTGCTGTGTTGCTGATCCTCGGCCGCTGCGCGTATTTAAGCTGCTGTGTTGAATACTTGCTCCCCCCTTCACACGCTCTGGCTTTCCCCACCAGTTGGTCTGTCCTGTAATGACATATGAGCTGGCAGAAAGAACCAGTGTGTGACGGGGTAAAGCAGGTACTCACACGCCGAGAAGTGCTAGTACATAGAGCGGCTGGCGTTCAGCAACATGGAGGGTGCTCCAACACAAACCACCGGAAAGGCAAGTATATGGTCTATTTTGCAGTCTGGGCGACTTTTGACCCTGTAGTGACCGGGTCACTGTAAAAGTGATCAATACATTTACTGTTACCAAGAGATGAGAAAACTATGATGGACGTACCACTGGCTCTACTCTCTGCACACCCCTCTGCTTTTTACTGGCAGGCACATCTGAATCTTCCGCTGTATGCTCGGTGACTTCCGCACTTCCCTCTTCCTCTTCACGTGGACGCTTTGGCATTGAACTTTGGCTCGCTGTAACTGAAAATATATTACGTATTACGCAACTGTAAGCTCAACAACATTACCTCTGGTCATGCAACAGTGCTCAGGAACCGGCTTCTAGGCCCACACACCTTCACCAGAGCAGACTACATGCTCCACCATACCTGGTTGGAAGTTCTGGGTATTCACACCAGGTTCAGAGGAAAGAAGGAGATGCATGCATGTGAAAGAGGGTCGGGGGAATGCTCTCCGCAGAAAAGTTGCCCCTTTTTCCTGCATGGGACAGGGCCTCAGGGTATTAAAAAGAAAAAGACAAAACACTTACATGTGGCAAATGATGTAGAAGTACTCGGCCTTTCTACAGGAGAGCTCTGCACCACTTCAACAGTGAGCTCCTGACTGCAAGGCTCTATGGCTGCATGAGACTGCTGAGTAGGCTGGACAAACGCAGTCTGCTGCTGAACAGATGACACGGGTTGTGGGAGAGACGACTGGACATTCGGGCTTGTGGAGCGAACTGATCCGCTGGTACTTCCAAACACTGGAACGTGCTCCAGCAGACCTTCTGATTGCATTGCTAAAAGTCAAAGTTTTAAACATTAAAAATCAGAGCCAAGAGTAGAAGAGATCGCATTTAACATGACAACACTCGCCTTCTTGGTTCTCCACTTGAGTTGTCGGCATGACTGTAGCGGTTGGCGTTGGAGTAGACACGACAGCGGGGGTAACCATGGGGCGAATGCTGGCCCTTGGTGGTCTAGTGGCTGCAGACACTTTGCTGGGGGTTGCAACCACTGGCGTGGGCTTAATATTTGCAGTGGGTGGTTCTGATGCACTTGCGCTGCAAAAGGAAAAAAACGGATGAAATGTTATGTAATATGTCCGCAACAGGTACAACTCAACATTTTAAATGTTTTCAATTGTAGGCCTTAGATGAGCTGGTGTTACTGATCCCATCTGTTGGGGATGAAGTACAGGTGAACTTTCAGTTTAAAACCAGGAAAAACACATTTCAAGTGCATCAAAAGTAGGGATGCACCGATATATCGGCCGCCGAAACATATCTGCCGAAAATGGCACTTTTGGCATAATGCGGAAAGTGCCATTTTCCTGCTGATACATCGGCGCATCCCAAGTTTCTTTCCTCCCCGCTGGGCGCTGCTCTGTGTCCCATCGGGGAGGAGAGAAACTGTGATAGCAGGCCGAGCGCTGTGAGCGGCTGCGTCTCCTCCCACACCGCTCAGCATCCTATCACAGTCCAGCAGAGCGGTGTGGGGGCGGAGACAGGCCACACTGTCACAGGAGGCTGAGCTCTCTTCCCCGCACCGCTCACTCAGCCTCCTGTAACAGCGCGTCAGGAAGGAGAGCGGGTACAAGCAGTCCGTGATCGCTGAGTGTATGTACATAATTGAGGACAGAGTGTGGTTACTATATACACAATTATGAATGAATGGGAAGTGATCTACATCACCTCCTACATCACTTCCTGTTCATTCATGATTGTGGTTATAGTAAACATACTCTGTCCTGATGTTATCAATGAACAGGAACACTCAGTATAGAGGATTCCGGTTCATTGATAACAGGGGCTGTAGAAAAAGAGATTGAGGACTGTGTCCTAAATCTCTTTCTATTTTTAGGCCCCATTCACATTGAGCGATTTGCAAATCGCGCGATTTGCATTTTGCGCAACATCACGCAAATGGTTGCCTTGAGCAACCTAGAATCGCGGCAAAATCCGCTCCAAAAAGGGTCCTGCTGTAGCGACGCACTACCCGCGACAGCGACGGACAGAGCCCCATTGGATTGCATTGGAGAGCGATATCGCGCGGTAAATAGCCGCGATATCGCGGGAATTACCGCGAGATAAAATCGCTCAGTGTGAACGGGACCTAAAAAGGGAAATATCAGGAGTGTTTAGACCCCTAATATTTCCCCAAAGCCCCTAAAAAGCAAAGTAAAAAATAAAAATTTAATTAAAAAATGAATAAAAAAAAAAGTTTTATCAAAATAAAAATAAAATGTGAAAAAATTAAAATAAAAAACATTAAAATAAAAAACATTCGGTATCGGTTTTGGCCTGAAAATTTTTATTATTTCGGTTTTCGGTGCCACTCTAATCAAAAGTGATACTGTTCCCTTTCTTGAAGAAGCGGCTTCAGAGAGGGATTTGTGGAATTAGTGGTCTCTCTGCAGAGGTCATTCAACTAGTGTCTGGACATGGGGCCGGGGCATTACTACGCACCCTGGACCCTCCACCTCTGCCCTTTTATTTTTGTGAACCCCAGGTACCCCCTAACTTTATATATCCTCCAGCTGCTGACTTTAGATTAGAGGTTCCCACTAATGTAGAAAGTCAGCAGCTGAAGTCTGTACAAAGTTGGTGTATAAAGTTGCTGCTTTTCCTCTACTTACATTCCTCTTTCCCCGGGAGCTGCGGTTGGCTTTACATTAATCTGCCTCTGATCTGGGACCTGAAAAAAAATCTGATTTTACCGAATGTCATGAAAAACCTACAAAACAAATATAAAAATGACACGCAGACAACCAAAAGATAAATATTTTACTTTTGATGGGTCCTGATTCTCGTCCCTTTGCTCATGGTGTCGCTCTTGCTGCTCACGCAATTCACGCTCCAGGCGACAAATACGTCCCTCGTATTGCGATTTCAGAGCGTTCATGCGAACTTCCAGTTCTTCCCTCTGCTGATCAAGAGCTGCAATTCTTTGCTTCAACTCTTCATTTTCATTTGTAAGTTGCTCCTTCAGACCTTCATAAGAAACATTAACTATAAATAGCCTTCAAAATGAATCTGTAATTCCATATGTACTGGCTCCGAAACACTGAAAAATCCCTCCCTCGGATACTGGGGAACAAGCTACTGCAGTGGTGTTGTCCAATGGAATAAGAATTGGGCGTCAGATCACAAGCGTGGTCCAGCTAAGGAGGGAAAGCCAAATCACTTGCCGCTCCAGCAGGTTAATCAGGAGCTTAGATTCCTCTTGCCGTGACAGGTGAGGGGCTGGATTCCCCCCTCCCCGCTCCGCCAGCGCTGACTGGCGGAACGGACGGGGGCGGGTACAGCTGACCCCATCACATCTGACCTGCAGGGAACAGACTCATTTGAATGCTCAAATGAGCAGGGAAATGAAGGAAGCTGACAGGTGCATTGGGGACATAGTGAGGGAAAAGGGACGCCAAGAAGAGCAGAGCTGCGAGACATTAAAAGGAGAACTATGAGGGGGGGAGTGCTTTTCACTCACCTCATAGTTCTAGCCAACCTGTGACAATGAGACCGTCACAGGTCGGCTCAGAAGATCGGGAGGTGAGCGAACACATACCGGCGTTCGCTCACCTCTCGATCCTGTCACGGCTCTCTGAACGGAAAAAAAATAGAACAAAAAAAAAGAAAATCATACCGCCAGGGAGGTTAATCTCATCCAACATCGCTCCATAGAGTATATGGCTTATTAAGGACAAAATGCAGCAACACCTTTTTCTAAAGGAGAACTATGGGGTCAGGGCTTTTCCCCATAGTTCTCCTTAGGGTAACGGGAGGACACAAACTAGCGTCCTCCCGTCACCCTAGGCTCAGTATATAGGGAGCTGTATCTCGCGGTATACTGAGACGCCGCAGCCGGAGCGGATCCCGAAAATTGTGCCTGCATCCGCCCAGCTGCGTGACTGAGCCGACCTGTGACAGTCTCATTGTCACAGGTCGGCTAGAACTATGAGGTGAGTGGAAATCACTCCCCTCATAGTTCTCCTTTAAGGCTTAATTAGCCATCCAAAACTTTAGCTACAGAACTCTGCGCCTAAGAAAAGAGGTGGAAGGCAAAAACACCAAACTCCTTAAATCCAATGCAGCAAAGGACGGTTGACATCAGCTGGATGCACTGAATGCACAGCCACTGGTGTGAGCTGGGAGGACATTGCCGATGTGATGATGTGGATCGGCGGATATAAAGAGCTGGACATTTTGTTTTCCGACGATCCGCAAGTGTCTATTTTGCAGATTGCCGGCTCTCAAAACTAAAAAATAAATTTGTTTTTTAAAAAATAAATAAAATCGGGGCCCCTTACCAGTGAGCTGCGCATATCTCTGCTTAACGGCAAACAGAGTTTTCTTTGTTTTCTCCTCCTTTTCGCTCATTTGCTGGCGTATTTGCTCCTCCTGCGCAGTCTTCTCCTGAAGATCCTTATGAACTTTGGACAGCTCGGACTGAAGTTGCGCGGTCTGTTCGTGCAGAGCTTTAACTTCATTTTCTTTATCATCTACAGTCTTCAAAACACATTAGAATATATCATTGGTTATTTGTGTCTAATTTCGAATGTAAAGTCCATATACCTTGTTGCACTCCTTACCGGTCTTTCCGCAATGACGATGGGTGCTCGCACTGACCGCAGATGGCGCTGCTCACAATGCAACAGTAGATAGAAAGAAGTCATCAGCACTCCAATCCAAAGATTCACATTAGTGAAAATCCAGTAGTAATCGCTTCTCGGCCTTTTGGCTAAGATCAAGTGTAGTATCTGTTCTTATCAGTTTTCGGTGGGGGAAAAGAACCGTCCTTGCAGGGGATGGTTACTTAGTACTCGCTGGAGTGAAAGAGCGTGTGGGGCGGCTTCCTGTGAGAGGGGAACCGCTCAGTACATGGCTTTCTGACTGAGCAGATGCGAAGCTTGGTCTGGCTCGAGGGTTCGGGGGCGGCAGAAGCCCGTGGTGTTGTGCCCCCTGGGGGTGGCGTCCCAGGGGTGCATCAGAAAATCACTTAGGGTGTGGGACCCCACAAAGTGATTCACTGTGCACTAGGTCACGACACCATCTTGCATTTTCTGCACTCTGCCTCCAAGACAGGCCTTATGGCTAGTCTGGGGCAATTTTTATGCACCCGGCCCCTAAGGCCTGTCAGAGTGGTGCACTGGCACTTTAGATTTATTCAAGCACTCTATACACGTTTGGCACTTTATTTTAAATTTGGACCCACAGATGCTGATGGTGCAGGTTTCTTCGGGGCCTAATCCTGACGCTGGGAGGAGATTCTGTGCCTCTTACGGGGTTCTCGGTCTCCTCCAACCCAGGAGGGGGGTTTCTCTTCGGGAGATCCCCCCTGCCCAGTACTGTGAGGGACCCGCTCCGGCAGGTCCCCGAAGGAAATGGGTCCACCGGCCTTCGGGTTGGTGGACCAACAGTCTCAACCCCTGTCAGGAGCCTTGCACCACGGGGGGTCGGGAAATTAGGTCTCTTCTTTGGAAGGACCTTGCACCCTTGTGCACGTTTTTGTGTGCTGTGATTTCACGGTTGCACTTTTTTTGTTCACAGGGGGAAGTTTGTCCACGGCTTCGAAAAAAAAAAGTAGGTCACTACCGGGGCTGATGAAGGGGGAACGTGCGCGGCCCCCCGAAAGCGCTCGTCTTTATGACTTGTGTCACTAAATTGGATTTTCACCAATGTGAATCTTTGGAATTGGAGTGCTGATGACATCTTTCCATCTAAATTTTGAATGTAAACTCTGCATGCTTGTTGAAATAGCAGCTATCCCCTCTACTTCCTTTGCTCTGGGAGAATAGTCTATCGGAAGAAAAATTCCAACCTAACTGCTGGGTAATTAAATGCTGCAGATTTAAAAGAAAACCAATGGGCAGCAGAGGGGTACCAAGCCTGTTCTGCTAAAATGCAGTAGAAGTCAGGTCACTTGCTGTCTGATAAGTCTAAAATTTGAACTTTATGAACATTGGAACCCTTACGCAGGCAAAACAAGCAGCTTTACAAAATAAGCAGCAGCAGCAGCTCCCCTGCTCTACATTTAGCCCTGCTTGCTCACAGCAGGGCTAAATGTTGAGTAAAAAAATACTTGCCCGGCTCACAGGCTATTGTATGTCCCGGGCCTCAGGTGATCGGAATCGTGCATCCCTCCAATACAATGTAAGGCTGGGTTCACACCTAAGCGTATCGAATATGCGCGTTTCTTGCCACGCTTTCGTCGCGCTATTCGCGGTTAAAAACCGTGCGACAAACGCGCATTTACGAGGGTTACTTGGCTGTATCCCAATGGAAACGCGCGACAAAAACGCCCCAAAGAAGCTCCTGTACTTTGGGCGTAGGAAGTTTTGTAGCGCGTTCATACGGCCTGTAATACGCTCAGGTGTGAACCGTACTCATAGGAAATAATGGGATTTCGGTGTTTGAGCGTTTTGCAGAGCGTAGGAACGCGCTACATAACGCACAGGTGTGAAGCGGGCCTGAAGCATCCTCAGAGTCCCAGAGCCTCCGATAGCTTTTCCCACGCGCTGTCATAAACATGACGCCTCTGTCCGCAGAACCGCTGCTCATTGGATGAGCTTTTACATTTTCACACCGTCCTGAGTAGACTGCAGAGGCGGCTAGGTGTTGAAATCCCAGCAGATCAGCGGGTAAGGAAACACCTTAACCAGCCTGTCTGACCCCAACAATTGTCGAAAATCACATTTCCCCATTCTGATTGATATGAACATTGAAGTTCCTGACCTGTATATTGAAGGGATGTTATGCCCTGCTGCCACATGATTGCCGATTAGATACCGTGTTTCCCCCGAAAAATAAGACAATGTCTTATATATTTTTTTTTTTTTGGGCAAAAAAAAAAACACACACTAGGTCTTATTTTCAGGGGATGTCTTTTTTTTTTTTTGGCAACAAAATGTAAAACAATCCAAAGTTATGTTCAAAATTATTAACCGGCGCTATAGAGGAAGTATCGGCTAATGCGACTCTGCTCCCTCCGCAGCCTTGCTTTCTACAGCACCGGCCTCCCTTGCCATCAGGGGCAGTGGTACCAGCGGTGCAGCAGAGGGGACAGACAGTGCGGTAAAGTACGGTACCATTTACCGGTACACATTACAGTACCGTGCCATTACATTACGCAGTGCCTTCAGGGGGACAGCAGTGGGTGAAGTCTGGTACTGGAATGCTCCCTGTCACTGCGCCGGCCGGAGGGAGTCCCCTGTTATCCCCTTAATACGGTATGTCCCTGCAGGCTGAGACCATCACTCCTGCTCTTCAAGTTCCCCCTCACATGCTACCACCCAACTAGGTCTTATTTTCGGGAAAACAGGGTAATTGCATTCACAAGCCATTGTTGATGGGTTTCTAATTGCTCAGCAAGTGTATACATTCGAGTATTCAGCACTTTGCATGCTGCAGCCGCATCTAGCTATCAGTTGTGTGGGCATACATGCCGCCTATACACCATCTCACTCACCTTCTGTATGGTCTCCAGCTGGCTCTCCAGTGTCGAGATCTTCGTTTCAGCCTTCGTCCGAGAATCCTTCAACTCCTGTAATTCCTTCTGAGTAGCTTGGTTCTCGGACTGAGCTGCCTGAGCTGTAGAGGTCTCAGCAACCAACTGGAAACAGAAAACAAATCCACATTTGCAGAATGACTTCAAAGCAAACTGATTTTCAACTATAGCCTCTGCTCCACTACACCCACCGCGAGCCAATATAAACGCTATTAGCCCAAACCATAAGATGATTTAGATCAAAAAGCCTTTTTAGGGTTCAATCTGTGCATTGCATTAAAGGAGAACTATGAGGGGGGGGGAGTGCTTTTCACTCACCTCATAGTTCTAGCCGACCTGTGACAATGAGACTGTCACAGGTTGGCTCAGTAGATCGGGAGGTGAGCAAACAGATCCCGGCGTTCGCTCACCTCTCGATCCTGTCACAGCTCTCTGCCGTGACAGGGGAGGGGCTGGATTCCCCCCCTCCCCGATCCTCCAGCGCTGACTGGCGGAACGGGTACAGCTGGCTCTGCCTCTAGATAGGCAGAGCCAGCTGTCAGTCACGCAGCTAGGCGGATCCAGACATAATTGTCGGGATCTGCTTCAGCTGCGGCGTCTCAGTATATAGTGAGCTACAGTTCGCGGTATACTGAGCCTAGGGTGACGGGAGGACGCTAGTTTGTGTCCTCCCGTTACCCTAAAGAGAACTATGGGGAAAAGCCCTGACCCCATAGTTCTCCTTTAAGGTTTAAATCTGGCCGTGAACTGAAAGAGTCAATCAGCCAACCTGAACTCTGATCTCCTGCCTCAGCAGAGATCACATAACCAGATGCCTAGGCATTCCGCTAAGTGAGGTACTACCAAGGATTCCCAGAGCGGTACTTGTTAGTGGCATCTACAGTATACTTTATTAAAGAGAAGCACAGTGCCTCGTGGTAAATTACAAAATTGGTGCACGTCTAATTTTTGCTGCACTGTAGTGCATGGGCTGCCCATTCAGATGAATAGGCTGCATTGATCAGCAACACAGTCTATACATTTGAAGGGGGATAAGTTACTTTGTGTCAATTTAAAGTGTTCAGAAGCCCAAAAATGCAATAGCCAGAATACATTAGTTTTTGTTACAGTTACTTCTCCTATACATGCCCTTTATTCAGGTATTACTGCTATAAACACCAAATATCTGGTGATCCAGCCAGCAGCCGCAGTTTCCTGGATGGTCACAAGGACGAAAAGCACAGGTTACTTCCCGATTTGTGTTGTCATGCCATCCAGAGAGTCCCCTGCACGAGGAAACAGGATGCCGTACCAATGCGCAGCATGCTGCACACCGTGTTGGTCAGCCATGCCTCCTGGCCTGCCCCCAGCTGTAGACTGATGGCGACCCCTGTATGGAGCACCGCTGTCTATACAGAAGTCTATAGCACAGCAGCTGACTCTGCTCTCATGCCTCTGAGCTGCTGGAGAAATAAGCGGCCCAGCAAATACATGACCACAAATAACTTTTTTGGGGTACTTGCACCGATTATGCTGAAGTCCAGTAGCAGTGTTATTCTGGGTGGGTTAGATGCCAAGACCCAACAAATGTTTTATGTTTATAGATTCTCAAAGATTTTTACACGAATGCTATACAACCCTAAGCTGTATACCACCTGAAAGTACTACAATGCCATTATAGAAGAATAGAACATAAAATAAAATTAAAAAAAAATTCTAATACTCACCTGATTCCTGGATCTACCAACAAGCGCGGCCTCCCGTCTCCCACGCTGTTAGAAGCTGCATACAGCGTGTGCTGGTTACTACTTAAACCAGCGCGCGCAGTGTGCAGCAAGATATACTCTATTAGCATAGCGGGGAAGGCGGCTGCGCATTTTGCATCGCTCCCGCTACGCCCGACAGCAAACGCACCCCCCGCCCCCCCCGGTTGTTACGCCACTGCTTGTCATGTATATGTGTTTGTACAACAAAAGGACTCCCAGAGCACCATGGGTTAGCTTAAGAGACAACACAGCTGTAAGGGAGTAGTCCGGGCAGGGAAACGGTGGATCTTATTTTAACAGGTCGGCTTCCAGGGAGAACACAAGTCTGAGATCAAAGCTAAACAAGCCAAATAACAATCTCTCCTTACCTTATCATGCTGCACTTTAAGCTCCTCATACTGAGTCTTGTATCTCCTTCCAATCTTTTTAACCTGTGTGATGGTTTTAATTTTTTCTTGGATATCTAGGACCTTAACCTCAAGATCTTTCTGCAGATTTTCCTTTTCGGTTTTAAGTTTCGTGACTTCTTCTCTGGCGCTCTGGCACTGACTCTGATTTGCTAAGGCACCCAGGTTTGGACAGTGGCCTGTTTGTGTCCCCAATACTTGCTTTCTGCCAATAACGCATCTTATCTTTCCTTTGCGAAGACAGTAGTTCCGAAAGGGGAAGTGTCGTTTACAACATTGGGGGCAGGTCGGCGGGGGCAAGGTACATTAGGCGGCATTAGGCATCTTGGAATTATAGATGCCGCCATACTAGCTGGTAATTTTAGTGCATATAGAGGTAAGGAAACACGAAGTGTGAACAGTCAAGTCTTCAGTTTATGTATCCCTTGTGTGTCAGCTTACCTTAAGTACCCACTCAAGGGTGTATACTGTATGTACTGGCCTTTAAATGTACATTAATGCATCACATGTTGAGAACCACTGTTACAAAACTAAAAAAAAATCTGTACTGTGTACACAAAAGAGATTCACCCCTCCCATGACGGACTACAATCTCATTACCAATTAGTAAACTAAACGTGAGATTGTAGTCCATCCCGGGGAGGGGGAGCGGCGACTACTCTACAACACACACAGAGACCATTGTGAACAGACGTAGCCCCCCCTTTCAGAAGGAAGGACAGTGTCAGAGATAATTGGAGGATCTACAGCCGAGTGATTTACAAATAAAAGGTGCCCATACACTTTACAACCCTCGCAAGACGAAGGTAAACCAATTAAAAAAACGAACTTCGGGCTTCCGATGACTGCAATGCTGAACAGGTAGCGTGCGCACACGCCGGCCCGTTCGGCAGTTGTCGAACAAGCACACCACTAACCCGCCGAGAATCGTACGATCCCCGGCGGGTTTTCCAGCCTGCTTGTTCGACGGAAGACGTGCGACCGTACCAGTAGAAACGGTTGCACGCCTTCCATACACTTTGCGATTATCTTACGATCGCGGGATTTCCCCGCAATTCTCGTACATAATCGTACAGTGTATGGGCACCTTAAGATACATTGTTGTTCAGACTTAAGGCACCTGAATTTATTTTTAAGGTTTATCTCCGGAGTTTAGAGCCACTTTTAGGCCCCGTTCACATATAGCGAATTGTCGCGCGATTTCCGCCGCGATATCGCGCATTTTTGCCGCGCGATATCGCGAGAAGTCGCCGGCCAATGTTATTCAATGGAGCTGTCTTAACTCCATGTCGCGCGTCGCAAGTCGCTTCTACCGGACCCTTTTTTCGGCGGATTTTGCGCGATTTTGCTTTTTTTCTATGGAGCCCGACGGGGAAGGTCGCGCTACCGTCGCTGGATCGTCGCCCCGAAAGTCGCGCTATCCCGGCCGTGCGGATCCGCTGCAAAAGGTATGTCGCTATATGTGAACGGGGCATAAGAGAAATGCACATCTACGGCTAAATACCATTTACCTGGCCGTCTCAGTTTTCAGTTTCCCCACTTCTTCAGTCAGCTGCTGGATTCTCTTTACATTAACGTCTCTTTCAGAAAGCAGCTTCTTGTACTCCTCCGCATCCGTGTCTTTCTGCTGGTTTAATAAGTGCTGACATGGGACAGAAAAAACAAATCAGAATTAGAAAAGGCTTCAAATTCATCCACTAGGACACATGTGTCAAACTCAAGGCCCATTCGGCCATTTCCTAGACTTCTACTTTCAGATCCAGGTTTTAAGTTATTACTACAACCCGTGATAATGGAATGCAGAGTCAATTCTGATAAAGATTAGATACATTTATACCGTCTTACAGGCCCTTTGAGGGCAACCATAATGTTGATACGGCCCACAATTAAATTGAGTTTGACACCCCTGCACTAGGAGATCTAAACGGTGTCAACAAATGTAATAGGACAAAATTAAATGGCGGAGAGTAGAAGTGGACCCGTACTCTGAGGTTAGTTCTACTGAGCCGACCTGTGACAAGTCTCATTGTCACAGGTCGGCTAGAACTATGAGGTGAGTGAAAAGCACCCCCCCCCTCATAGTTCTCCTTTAACAAACTTGTTTGGATGAATAAAGAGAAAACAGAAGTGTGGAAATAATAAATGCCTTTACAAGAACAAGCTGCTATAAGTCACTTCTACATTTTGGTCATGTGACAAGTCTTGGCATTTTTTTTAAATTCACTGTAAGAGGCACCGGGAGACTTAAGTGTTTTTTTTTTTTTGTTTCTCAAAATGATTACATTACTTTCATTACTTGGGTGATGTGTTTCCTGTTCCGGTGGGAGGAGCCTATCTCTCTAATGCTGTCCTGGAAGGTGACTAGAGAAAAACTCATGGTATGGAACATAGCAGTGCCATGTCCCTCAAATAAGACAATGAATTAAGCAAGGACTGACTGTATAATCATAAACACCTTTTCATAAGGTATTCAAATTAAAAATCTCCAGTTACAGCCATTGCACTTTAAAAAGATCAAAAACAAAAACCCCCAAAAAAGAAAGCACACCGACAAAAAACAAATGTATACGGTTATTCAGGATTCAGCTATGCTATAGAGAAGGTGTAACAAGTTTAAATTTCAGTATTTTCATATAATCTCGTATAAAACCCGTTTCTCACTCTTCTACATTCCATTAAAAACTAGATAGAATTAAGATTTTTGCTGGGAGTGTTTTTTTCGTTGTTGTTGGATGTCTATGTTAGGAGAACCTGCCAACATACCTGTGTTCGGGCCCTCCAGCGCTTCACATCTTCCTCAAGCAATTTCTTTTCCGCTTGAAGCATGCCGCTTTTCTCGCTTAGTTCAGAGTTGGACTCTTGCAATGGTAATATATTTGACTCGAGCTTCCGTATCTGAAAATATATCAAAATGCAAATTATTTTCTCTATGTCTAAAAACAGGTAAAGATGGGACGAGTGAGAGGTGTGCGAGAAATGTGTGTGAGGCGTGTGTATGTGTAAATATAACGCACAAACTAGCGTCCTCTCGTCACCCTAAGCGCAGTGTCAATGAGACTGTCACAGGTCGGCTCAGTAGATCAGGAGGTGAGCGACCACATACCGTCTCTCGCTCACTTCTCAGGTCACAATTCTCTGCAGGGATAGATCGAGAAGTGAGCGAGAGACGGTATGTGGTCGCTCACCTCCCGATCTACTGAGCCGACCTGTGACAGTCTCATTGTCACAGGTTGGCTAGAACTAGGAGGAGGAGTGAAACTCACCCCCCCCTCCCCCTCATAGTTCTCCTTTAAGCAATTTTTAGATTTCCCCACATAAGCACCTCATAACGTTTGTGGATCTGAACATCCAGCATTGGAATATCTGCAATGCAGAGGTCACAACAGGAATTGTTGGGCTATGGCTAAAACTGCCATGATGATCATCAGCCTCTACCACCACCTATTGGGATTGCCAGATAATAGATTAGCACCAAAAAAGATGAATTTAAAATCCCAAATCTCTGACTGACTTGGCATCACCCCATGTATGCCGTCATTAAAATGTAACCATAAAGAATGATCGGAGATTGTCCTTTCAAGTTCTCTATTTAGCACTTCTGGATGCAAATGGAACATTTAGAAGATAATACCAGAATACTGAACATTAGGCGGATTTGCCCACCTTGGCTTGAAGTTGCTGAAGGTTCTGGTCCAGCTTTTCTTTGTCTTCCCTCAGCGTTTTGTTGGATTCCATTAATACATTCATGGTTTCAGTTTTCTTCATCAGCTCTTCATGCTGGGCCATGCTCCTTGCAGTCACCTAAAAAGGTATGAGAAGAATGTCAGATAGCCATTGACACGTTTCAAATCCAAACATGAGCCAATAGGCGTAGTCTGCGAGCGGCTAGAGAGAGGAGGCGCCCTGGTCTGTACTGCATAAAGAGACACCCATTGTGATAGAGATGAGCCGGGGAGGG